TTAAAATGGTTTTTTTTTGCGAATGTTGTATTAAATTTGTTTTCACACAAAAAAAAAAAAGAAAAAAAAAAAAGAAAAAAAGAAAAAAAAGAAAAAAAAACCAAAAAAAAAAAAAAAATCAAAAAACAAAATATTATGGTTGTTTTTTAGGTGGTTATTTTATTTTATCATTTTTTTTTTTTGGAGCTCTGATGTTTGGTATGACGCTTGTAGAATTTGATTTTTTTTTTTTTTTTGACCTTTGATGAACTGAAAATTTTTCTCAAACGAGTATCAAAATGATTTGTAGGCACAGGACCGTGAGTTCATAGAATTTTTTGTGTAATTTATCGAACACGTGTATGTACAAAAAAATTTTTTTATCTAAAAAGTTCAGGAATTAATAAATACCTGTTTTGTTTAAAAAATAAATACATATTTTATAATGTCAATTGTTTGATTCACTGTTACATTACGCTGTAAAATATTATAATCTAGCCAGTCTTAAAAAAAAAATATCGCTAAATATTACAATTCTCCGATAAAACCGATATTATGAAACTAAAAACCTAACCAGTAAACAATCTAAAAAGTAGATACGTGCAACAACCGAGAAATCTGAAAAAAGCTAATCCAGTCACAGACCAAAGAATGAAAGCCATATAATCATTACTTCTTTGGTCTTGAGGCAATATTGAATTTAAGGTTGAACTGCCATTTGTAACAGCAGCTACTAATGCAGCATTGCTAATGGTCCAAGCAAGCACGACTTCTGTACGGAATGCTTTATAATAATCTTCTTGTTTTTCTGATTCTGAACGTTGCTTTGGTTCCTCTTCAACATGCCGTGCTAACTCATTAACAGCTTCATCATATGCAGCATTAATATCCTTTTGATCCACAGGTGCTTCAACTTCAACTTCACCGCCTTTCCCAGGTGCAGCAACAGTACCCAAATCTTTTTTTGTTCCAGTATCACCTTTTGTACCCCAACTATATTATGAAAATAATCATGTAAAAAAACATGATAGTTTAATTATTGAAGAGTTCAAAAAATTTTTTTTGTTTTACCTGACATCATGGACGTTACAAAACGCGTAAACGTTTAAGATATTTATATAAAACGGTACCAATAGCAGATATTGTCCTAAGCTGGTGAACATGTGCCATGGCTCAAAGAACAAGAAACTTGCAAAAAAATATAATCCATATGTAG